TGGCTGTGTGTGTGTGGCTGTCTGCCTGTGTGTGTGTGTGTGGCTGTCTGCCTGTAATTGTGTGTGAGTGTGTTTATCTACCTGTAACTGTGTATGTGTGTTACTGCCTGTACCTGTGTGTTTCTGCCTGATCCTGTGTATGTGACTATCTGCCTGTGACTATGTGCATGTGGTGGATTTGATAGTGTATATGTATAACTGTGTGCATCTGGTTGTGGAAATGTGTGCACATAACTCTGCAAAAATATACACCTGCATTCAAACAAGGGCCTAAATGCATGTTTTTATCTGAATTAAATACCCATCACACACAGCCAATAAACCCAGCACAAATATCACATACAACCAATACACGCATATCACACACTGTTAATACACCCATTACAAATGTCACACACAGCCAACACATATCATACGTATCACATGCAGTCATCACATGTATCACAAACACAGACAACACAAACATTACATCATACATGGATGATGGGGGGGGGGATTTTTTGCACAGGGAACCTAAAGGCCTAAGGCTGGACCTATGTGCTTGCTTGTGAATGAGCTTGTGTGTGTGTGTGTGTGTGTGTGTGTGTGTGTGTGCCTGCTAGTGAGCTTATGCATGTGTGTGTGTGCCTGCTAGTGAGTGAGATTGTGTGTGTGTGTGTTCCTGCTAGTGAGTGAGCTTGTGTGTGTGTGTTTGCTAGAGAGTGAGCTTGTGTGTGTGTGCCTGCTAGTGAGTGAGCATGTGTGTGCCTGCTTGTGAGTGAGCTTGTGCGTGTGTGCCTGCCTGCTAGGGAGTGAGCTTGTGCATGTGTGTGCCTGCAAGTTAGTGAGCTTGTGTGTGTGTGTGTGTGTGTGTGTCTGCTAGTGTGTGAGCATGTGTGTGTGTGTGTGTGCCTGCTAGTGAGTGAGCTAGTGTATGTGTGCCTGCCTGCTAGTGAGTGAGTGAGCTTGTGTGTGTGTCTGCCTGCTTGTGTGTGTGCTTACCTGCTATTGAATGAGCTTGTGTGTGTGTGTGCCTGCCAGTGAGTGAGCTTGTGTGTGTGTGTGTGTGGTTGCTAGTGAGTGAGCTTGTATGTGTGTGTCAGTTAGCTTGTCTGTAGTGAGCATGTGTGTGTGTCAGTGTGCTTGTCTGTAGTGAGCATGTGTGTGTCAGCGAGCTTGTCTGTTGGAAGAATGCGTGTGTCTGTGAGCTTTTCTGTAGGTAGCATGTGTGTGTCAGTGAGCTTGTCTGTAGTGAGCATGTGTGTGTCAGCGAGCTTGTCTGTTGGAAGAATGTGTGTGTGTGTGCCTGCCAGTGAGTGAGCTTGTGTGTGTGTGTGTGGCTGCTAGTGAGTGAGCTTGTATGTGTGTGTCAGTGAGCTTGTCTGTAGTGAGCATGTTTGTCTTAGTGAGCTTGTCTGTAGTGAGCATGTGTGTGTCAGTGAGCTTGTCTGTTGAAAGAATGCGTGTGTCAGTGGGCTTTTCTGTAGGGAGCATGTGTGTGTCAGTGAGCTTGTCTGTGGTGAGCATGTGTGTGACAGTGAGCTTGTCTTTAGTGAGTTTGTGTGTGTCACTGAGCTTGTCTGTAGTAAGTATGTGTGTGTGTCAGTGAGCTTGTCTTTATTGAGCATGTATGTGTCAGTGAGCTTTTCTATAGGGAGCATGTGTCAGTGAGCATGTGTGTGTGAGACAGTGAGCATGTCTGTAGTAAGTTTGTGCATGTCAAAGTTTGTCTGTACTACGTTTGTGTGTGTATACTGTCACGCCAAAGAGTGCATAATTCATTGTTGCACAATAGAATATTGCCATTTAAGGTAATTTGTGCAGTGCATATATGAACTGACCACTTGTTAGATATCAGATGACAGAAGGCGTAATGTAAATTGCATAGGAATGTGAAAGCGGCAGATGGTTTGCAACATGGATGGATTCTTTGATTAATCAAAGGCTCTGCAGTGTGTGAGATTCTACACTGGAGATGCCTGGATATCTAGTTCCAAGCTCTGCAGGGTGTGAGATTATACACTTGAGATGCCTGAATGTCTAGTTCTGATGTAAACTAACTGACTTCAATAGGCATGTGCATGGGGAAAATGTTCGGTTCGGCATTCTGAAATTCAGGACTTTCGCAATTCGGGACTTCGACAATTCGGCACTTCAACACTTCGGAACTTCGGCAACTTCAGAACTTCGGCAACTTCAGCACTTCGGAACTTCGGCACATCAGCACTTCGGAACTTCGGAATTTCGGAACTTCGGCATTTCGGAACTTCGGCATTTCGGGACTTCGGGACTGCCTGTGGCTGCTCACTGTTTTAAAAAAAAAATAGGGTCCTCCCTCCCAAGACCCCATCCGCGCGCTTTTAAACTAAAGTGGGGACCTATTGCCCCGCGGCCCCACCCCTGAGCAGCTGGTGGGGGTCCTAAAGTAAAATGATGGGGGGACCTATTGTCCTCCCCCCAGCCCCCACCCCTGACTAGTGGGTGGGGGCCCTAAATACTAATAAGAGGGGGACCTAATGTCCTCCCCTCTGGCCCCCACCCCTGAGCGGTGGGTGGGGGCCCTAAATACTAATAAGGGGGGGACCTAATGTCCTCCCCCCTGGCCCCCACCCCTGAGCAGCGGGTGGGGGCCCTAAATTGGAATAAGGGGGGACCTAAGGTCCTCCCCCCTGGCCCTCACCTCTGAGCGGCTGGTGGGGGCCCTAAAAAAATGTCTGGCCCAGGTGACTAGGGGTCCCCAAACACCTAGTCACCCCCTACCCCCCCAAAAAAAATATCCCCTTACCTACCCACCTCACCCTAAAAATGATGAGGGGGGGACCTTTAACTAAGTACCTGTAAGAAAAAAAAAATCTTACCATTCAATGTCTTCTTTCTTCTAAAATCTTCTTTTTTCAGCCTCAAAAAAATAATCCATCTTCACCAGGGCTCTGCGCATACTGAGCTCTGCAGGGTGGGGGAAGGCTTATAAAGCTTTGCCCCGCCCTGCAATTAGGCTCAGAGCACTCTGATTGGTGTATTTGAAGCCAACCAATCAGAGTGCTCTGACAGGTAAATGAAGGGACTGACAGGTAAGTCTCTACATTTACCTGTCACAGCACTCTGATTGGTTGGCTTCAAATACACCAATCAGAGTGCTCTGTGTCATTTTACACAGTGTGGGAAAATTCCAAAGAAACCTTTTTTTTTTTTTTTTTTTACAGTGAGCAGCCACAGGCTTCTCACTGTTTAATAGACATGACCCTACTCACGGTATAGCGAGTAGGGGCATAATTTACTTAGTATTAGTAAATTTGGCTGAAAGACCAATTTAGGTCTGTCAGTCTTTTAGTAGATAGCTCCCTACCGTGGGAATTAGGGAGTTATCTACTTATTCATTCCTGTCATTACATTGACTGGCTAAGTAACTTACATTTTATATGAATGTATGTTACTTGATTGTTGTAAGTGTCGCAAATGCTTACAGCTGAATCCTGGCTATGTTTGTATACTTTTTATTTAAAATTTTATACAATGTAACATTCTTCTTTCACTGGGTAAGTATATTAGTACTTAGGCAATACTGTGCTTCGACTCTTCGGCACTTCGGCAACTTCGGCACTTCAGCACTTCGGAACTTCGGCACGTCAACACTTCGGAAATTTGGTAATTTTGGAACTTCGGGACCTCTGCAATTCGGCACTTCGGCAATTCGGAAGTACCCGAATGTCTGAATTTCCCGAAATTTGTCCGAATTCACATTCGGACCGAAACAAATTGCACATGTCTAGACTTCAGTCATATGGCTTCTGCCTCTTAATTGATGAGTTAATTTCTTTGATATGTTAATGATCATTAGCCTTGTGTTCAAGTATCATATCCAAAAGAAACATTAATATGTACCCACAGAATAATAATTAAGCCATTAAGCCTCATTTTTCTAAATTTAGAATGGGACATGCACCATCTTCCAAACAATCCCAAACATGATTGGCATGACCTAACCACATGGGAAGGGATTTGGATGCCGACTAAATTGGGTCACAAGTAAGAAGTGTGACATATCTATGGAATGGAGAAATGGTAACAAATTCATAGATGCGATTATTATTTCTGTGGCAAGTACAAAAGAGGAGATCAAAGAAAAAGTTTCTATTAGGATTGATGTGGGTATGGAACACAAGGGGGTGGTCACTTATTGTCTCTATAGGTACACCTTAACTTCACCTGTAGGCCAGGCTTGGTAATCCACAGGGTATATATCCAATGATACTGAAATGTGTATTAAACTTGCTTGGGGGCCAGAATCTAATTCCAAGTGAGTCGCCACCTTTCTTACCAGAGGCCCCCTGGGTAGAAACTTTACTTTGAAAACCTTAGTAAGTGATTAGGACTTCTGTTATTTTATCCCTTTTGTTTTTATCTGTTGTTGGTGTAACTAGTTTGATTGTCATCTATATTTTTGTATGCACTGTGACTTGTTTTGCTCATAATAAATATTCCTTTATTAAGTTCTGCCTTTGTCTTGTAAAGATTCATGTTACCTGAAGTGACTAATTAGTGTTTTGCAATTGCTTAAATATTGTGCTTAGTTATATTTAGTGGGTTTTTCTTATTAAGTTACCTGGGGGACCAAGGCAGCCCATTTATAAATTGTCTTGGTGGTTGCAGCGTTAAGATTAGGTGTGGGTGTTAAGTGGGATTTTATCATTATTTCCGGTCTAGTGCAGACAAATAGTGAACTTTAACACTTTCACCACCACAACTACGTAACACACACTCTTGAAGTAGAGTGCATTCGTGACATATACCAATAAGCTTGTCTGTGTGTGTCAGTTAGATTGTCTGCCAGTGAGCCTATTTGTGTGCATCCGTAGGCTTGTTATTTATTTATTGCTATATTACTCAATAATATATCTGTGGGCTATATATATTATGTGTGATATATATATATATATATATATATATTCTTCCAAATAGGTAGCTGCACTCACGGATTTTAAAAGTCCAACATTTATTTATAAATATTACAAGGCGATCAACGTTTCAGTCCTGCACAGAGGACTTTCATCAGGATCCAATACAAAATAAGTTTTGTATTTGATCCTGATGAAAGTCCTCTGTGCAGGACTGAAATGTTGATCGCCATTTAAAATTTTATCAATACATTTGGGACTTTTAAAATCCGTGAGTGCAGCTACCTATTTGGAAGAATGGATAATACAGCCTTGGCTTGCTAGCACCCGGTTACAAAGGGACACTAAAGCGTGAGTGCAAGAGCATTTTTGTATTTTTATATATATATATATATATATATATATATGTGTGTATATATTACTCAACCATCTGGGGAGACAAGACATAGCCTTACATATTATGTGACAATACACGGCACAATGACTTATGTGGCTTGAGTAGATAGCAAGTTGATAGTGTATACCTCTGTCTGTGAATGAGCTTGTCTGTATGTGTGCATTTCCACTAGTGTCTTTACATGTTTCTCTATGTAAGGGTATTTTTGGGAAATGGCAGGGGGTGGCATTTAATAGAAATTTCATTGGAATTTTCAAGTTGTGGAAAATGGCATATAGATGGAAATTGGACAGAAATGTCAGTAAGTGGGCATTAAGCAAACTGGATATGAGCTGGGAACTGGGTGGGGGGGGGGAAAGAAAATGGGGGAAATTGGCTTGAGAAAAAATAATTCTGGGACTAAGGTTGGGAGTTATGAAGTGGTGGAGTTTGAAACTCAAGGGATGAATTGTGGGTGCATTGGTAGAAAAGCATTGGACGGGGATGAATTAGGGTGTAGGGGTTTACATTCTATAAATAAATGTATGACACTAAAAGGAGAGGGATTCGCAGTGGATTTTGGTGTGGGAATGCAGAGGAAGTAAAATAACAGAGTAGCTGAAGTCATTTTCATTTTATGAATTTGTAATATAATGGGTGGGAAGTGAATTCTTTGGGCGTTGTTTCACAAAGTGTTTTCTTTTTATGGGTTGGACAGAATTTTTCCTTTGGAACCTGCTGTTCGTTGACCTCTACAAATAAAATGACAGTGTCAGAGTAAATCTGGATCAAATTATCTTACTGGAGTCTCTGTGGTATATATCCACACACTGTTCTTGACCAGCTTTCCAGGATTGGCATAATTCTTACACTCACTTTCTCTTCTATACAGAAAATATCAGCAGTGCAGCAGTTAATTCAACAAAACAGGCACCAGCACAAATGGACACTAAGGTAAATAGACTGAGGAGGTGGAGATGGTGGACAGTTGTAGACCAACATGGGAAAGGGAATAATAAATGGCAGTATAGAAGAACAAACAATTTTCTGCTGCCCATGTCAGCATAATAATAAATATGAACATCACTGTATCTCCTTTAGGACAAATGGCAATTTAGTATTTCATGTTAAACAAGCAAACATTATTTCAGTAATACAATGATTATGAAGAAAGTTCTTGAGGCAACCTACACCAGGGGAACCATTGGGATATTGTGGTCCTTATCCAATGAAAAAGTGAAAAAAACAGAATAAAGAATCTAAACTCTGTTCCAGAGCCCATAGAGAAGATTCAATCTAGGATGAAAATAATTAAATAGAGCACAATTAGGATAATACAACTTATGGTATGGTATCAACATGCACAACATGATGATGCCTAAAGTCTGTAGGTAATGGTATCCTTTGTCAGGGAAAATGTGACTATGAATTGACAAAGTCTGTGAACACAATCTTCCATTTCTCTGATGGAATCAGTGGAGGGGAAGAGGGTGACCAGCCGACCTCAGTTAAGAATTCAAACCTTTCTAATATGTGGTAGTTATGGTGCTAGGAGTGTTCTGTTAACAAGTAACTGCTGATCAGTAAAATTCAGTGCACTACAAAGTAAAGAATAGTAACTATCATTTAATCACTGTTCCCAAATCCAAATAATAGTAACTAATGAGAATGCAACTAGACGTACAATGTTTCAATATATAATATGTTCACCTTTCAAATACATATAGTCATACACACTTAGGCCATAATTTTATATTTTTGGATAAATTTTTTAAATATTTTTTCAAAATGTTAAAATATTAAAACATAGATCACAAAAATATATCAATATATCAAAAATATAAATATATATTTAATAATATGAAATCATTTTTAAATTTATCCAAAAATATGAAATAATTTGGGAAGCTTATCCAACAATATTAAATCAAAGTCTAAATATTAAGGTTGTTTGATTTGTATTGCTCATTTTTGGCTATGTATGTATGTATATGAGTATTTGAGAGGTGAATATTGAAACATTGTACGTCTAGTTGCATTCTCATTAGTTACTATTCTTTGGGTTTGGTGATTTTTGGAACATTGATTAAATGATTAAATGATGAAAGTCTGAGCAAGGATAAAAAGACAGATGACAAAGAACCGCCAGAGATATTGGAGAATATTAACACAGAAAAGGTGTGCACACTTTCATAATGTTTTTTTATTTTATTATTATTTTGGATCAGCAGCATCACAGGTCAGGAAGTGCATACTTGTATTAAGTAACTGGTACTTCGATATGTATTAAAACAGCTTACAAAGGTTTGCTGTTGATTGTTATGCCCAATAAATATGTCCTTGAAAGCAGTAAAACTATATGAGCCATCCCTATGTTGCTCCTGGGATTTTCTTGCGAGAGAAGCAGTAAGGCCAACCTGCTATCACAGTACCTGCTAGATTCGTGCCTCACTCTGGTGCCTTTATTGACGCAGTCCATAAATTCTGCATCAATTCGGACACTGACACCTAACTCCTACTATACATGCAGCATCATTTTGGACACTGCTCACTTCTAACCTGTGCCAACTTCTGACACTGAAACCTTGCGTCATTTCCGGTGCACGCACAACTGAATCATGTCTCTGACACAACTCATGCACAATTTGGCATTTCAGGAATGACGCAATGCAATCAAAGGCATTCTAGAGATTTTTATGCCCTTCTTGCATTCCTAGCTTTGTCCTGGTTTCAATTGCGATGATCTGAGAGTGTGCTTAATTAGTTTACTGATTCCTGTTTTTGGTTTTTTTTTTTTACTTTGGCTTGTCCCTGACCTTTTTCCTTTATGTTATCCTTGACTTTGGCTTTTCTATTCATTATCGGTACCTTCTATTGTCCTCGACCTTGGCTACATCTTGACCATTCTCTAACCTTTTACTAATGTGTAGCCTGTCCAATTCTGAGGACCGGTAACATGCCTCTGCCCATTTCTACCTATATCTTAGCTAAGTTTGACTTAAGCTCAGAGTGCTGGATCTGCTGTAGTCATGACAACTGCAGGCTTTAGCTCTTATACTCAATGCTTACGTTGATAGAACGACTGAGGGAACCAGGCTGACATGGTTAAAAAAAAATCCAAAACTGGTTTTAGAGAAAGAATGCAAGGCAAAACAAACAAATGCAGGGAATCTTTAGAAAAGTTGAAACATAGCTTACAAACAAAAGAAGGAGCATAATTGTACCAAACCTATTATTCCAACTTTGAAAGCACCTGCCTGTAATGTTATTCCATTAATTGCCAACAAAGAAGAAATGTTTCACTGTTTGAGAAGTCTTTAAAGTATCTTTGGAATAGTGAATAATCCTACAATTCATGCAATATTTGCTAGTAGCACTTGGCCGTCAGAAGAAAGATTTGCCTTTTACAGCTTTTCCTAAATTCATTGGCAAATGCACGGTAGCCGTAAAATAAAACTGAAGTAAATTGAGCCAGAGGTTTTATTTCATGAGTAATTTCCAAAATTGTAACCATTTGAAGATTGAACTCTAAAGTGCATGATCAGAATTATAAACATAGAAAGACAAGTAACGTATTATAAAAAAACACCCGTTGGACGCCCCTTGCCAGTCTTCAAATTAATCTCTTGAACTGAGTTTAACTCAATGTATTACCTGTCCCTCTTGTACTCAGAATGCTAAGATTCAAGTTCATTAATGGCTACTGTCTTTTAGAGGCTAAGGAGTTAAATTTCCAAAGAACATTGAAATTGTAATTGTGGGAAGGTTTATTCGGTAGATTTTCAAACTCATTTATCAGTTTGAATTACTGAAATTAGCAAGGCTAATTTACTGTCACAATTGAAAATTGAGCAGATTTGGAGTTTCTTAATGGTCTTAGAAAGCAAGTCATTGTACCCGTCTCAATTCCAGGTTCTTTCTCTCGTCGAAAGTCCTGCTTATAATTTTTTTCCTTTTTCTTTTTTTTTTTTTTTTGTGAATGCAAAGTTTTGTAGCCAACACAAACTGTGAGCTGAAAAATAATGTAAGAAACTGGGAATGAAGAGAGATTAGCTGTTCACTGCTCCTGTTATTTTAAAGCAGAAATAACTTTGGCTTCTACACATTCGTAGACAAAGAAAGTTTGAAATGCAAAGCATGTTCAAGTCTCTCTCGTTTCAGCATGAAAGGCCGTTAAAATATGCCAGAACGCCAGTAATGGACTTATTAAAAGGATAAAGAAGGGCAACTTTCAACGGAATTCTTGGATCTTTAACAGTGTCGTATCATCAATCTCAGTAAAGAATTCTATTCTGTATACATTTTCCTCTTTTTTTTTTGCAAATTGCCATTAAAGCAATTGGTACAATCCAATTCACTGTGCAGAGTCTGCAAGAGAATTATACAATGCCAAGCGAGAACAAAGTGAGCCGCGAGCAGCGTTCTCTCGATCTAGAGAAATAAGTGAAGAAAATCTTAAAAAATAAGAATCAAGCCTTCCTTTTGTAATGCTAACCAAAGGGCTAAAACATATAAAAAAAAACATATTATGCAAAATGATAAGCAATGCAAAAAAAAAAAAAGGATAATACTGTAAATGGGTTTTTAAACGTTTATTTAACATCGAAAAAAATGTCACACCTCACATTAAGTAAATCACTAAGGTCTGCGTGCACAATTCAGAATTAGCTGTACTTATTAATTAATAGAGAATGGACGCATCCAGTAGCAAACTAAACTTTTCAACAGAAAAAAATATTTGTCTGGATTCATTGAATTAAAAAATATGTACTACTAATGCAAACATAATAAGTATACTTACTATGCAATTATACCTGAACTCCTGCAGAATACAAAGCTTGGCTTCTTTC